GCTTATTCTTCTTCCTGTTTTCTATCTTGATAAAGATGAGGAATAATTAAAAGGATTTGAGCGTCTTTGGGCGTTTTTGAGCGCTTTTAGGCGAGATGTGGCGGGTTTCTCGTTGCACAAGCACAACTTCGTTTCAGGGCTCAAGGGGATAATCGTAAAAAATCTGGGGATCTTTTTCAATGGTCGTTCTGGAGAACCCCGTTTGCCCATCTCGTATCGGGCCCTGAATTGCGCTGTCTTTGACATATCCTTTGTATTCATCGAAGGAAAAGCTGCCAACACATTTGCTGAATATTATTTGAATACCTTATCGCATCCATATCCCAGGGAAAGCTTTTGTATTTTGCCCAAATATCCCATATTCGAGAAGCAGCCACTTTCTTCCACCAGCTCCACGCGTTCCTTCGCTTAATGAGAGTTTATAGATATCAAAACCGCACATTCGTTTTTACCGCTACGATCCTCAACGAAATTGACACAAGTGTGGCTCTGCCACTGATTTGCCGCTTTATGGAATACTTCCTTTGTGTCTTTATCTGAAATCATGTTGCTTAGGTATGTACTACAAACAAATTACTTACCTACTCCAAATTGGATTGCGTATGTCACTGTTGCATTTGGCCACTTGTATTTCTTTGACCCTACTTTGAAATTCATCGCCTGACGTTTTTCTCTGCTTATTTCTTCTTTTTCTTCTTGCGCGGCAATAATGCGGGCTTGTTCACTGTAAGCAACAGCTTAGTAAAAACGAAATTTGTTTGGAGCTCAAACTCGTACATGTCCAGGACAATGTCGCCCTGATACAAGAACTCTCCCAATGGTGTGTGACGGTTGATAGCGTCGATACTTCCGGCAATACCTTCACTACGTTGTGGTTCATCTCGATGTAATGATAACGCTTGCTATAAAAAACGTGTTCATACGGTTCCCCACACTGTAAGTGTGCTTCATCTCACCGCTTCGAGATTTTGCAAGGCTTCCTGTTGCTGTGGATTCAGCTTAAGTTCCTTCTCGACACCTCCTTCATGTGCATGAGTCATCTCGTAAGTGGCGACAAGGTCAGCCTTGTTCAGGGTCTAGAACACACCATGCGTTTAACTGCTCTAAAAGGTCGTGATTGACACCTTACCGTGGAGATTTCGCTCATTGCTTTGTCAATTCTTTGCATAATGTTTTCTGCGGCATCGCTACCAGCAAATAGGAGTAAAAAGAGAATTATTCTCATTCTGGAATTTTTTAGGAGTGATATAAAACTTCTCTCTTTCGGCGTTGTC